TAAATTTTTTGAAAATTAAAATTTTTTACAAATTTTGAATAATATTTTTCTAAAATTTAATAGAATTCATTACAAACCATCAGAATCCTCTTATATCCCTCTAAATTCACGATATCCCGCATAATTATTTCTAATTTTATTGAAATATATTAGAAATCAAACAGTGATGTGGTTTGAAAAAAAACATGCCAAAACAATTAAATATTTTATTGGGAGGGGGCTATTTTAGAAGGCTGGGGTTATTTTAGAGGATTTACGGTATTTATTTCAATTATTCTTGCTCCTTCCTATATTTTTGTCCATGGCTATATTTAAATTTTTTATTAAAAATGGATGGAAATAAATAAAAATGAATACAAACTAGGTAAAGTAATTGGCTTGGATAAACAAGCCAAAAAATTAAGCGCATTTTATTGGCGGATGCTTTAAAGCTCGAAATTTAAGCTCGAAACTTCGATCTAGCTCTTTGCGTATTTCGTACCCTCCACTGCATTACTATTTGGCCTGTTAACGCTCGCGAGATAAAAGCTATTTTACTTATATATGCTGTGTTAACATAAAAAGCGTCTTGCGTTTTGCCGCGAGAAATAGTACTCAAAAGGAGTAGAGACAAAATCGCGTCTCTTCATTCCCAATGCCTCTCCTCAATTTTGGCTGACAATTAAAAATAATAAATCGAATTTAATATTTTATTAAAATTTAATATTAATTAATTTAATATTTATTTATTTAATTCAGTATTATACAAATCTTTGAAACAACTTTTCAGAGCCGCTCCTTAATCCAGAGTATGGCTTTTCAAATTTTAGGCCAGAGAAGTCAGATTTCTTATTTTCTTATTTTTCTCGTAGATTTCTTTTTTGAAAGACTCATAGGAAATTGAAAACCATAGTGTAAGTACTGAACAAAACCGAAGAAAATAAGGAAATAATCCAAAAGCCACCTTTTTTCGGCCCGACCCATCGTTGCACCACAACCCGTCAAATTTTAAAATTAAATGTGTAATAAATTATTAACATGTTTTTTATTCAATTATAAAAGCCAAATTTAATTTCAAAAATAAGATTATAAAAACAATTAATTTCTAGCGATTGCTATCATTACAGAATTATCACGACTATGGGAATGACTTTTCTAATTTTGGTGAAATTATTAATAGATAATTTCTATCCATAAACTTAAACTCTACTTGATCTTGATAGGGTTGCTCTCGTGGGGTTTGCTTATATCAGAGAGTGTGTTTCAAATAGATAGTGTGGTTCTATTATGTAGAACATTTACGTTATAGATTTATGCTTAAAATCCCAAATATAAAAAAATAATATGAATATTCGTTTTTAACTATTTTAGAATTTTAACAATTTTTAACTTTAACTATTTTTAAATATAATAAAACCCCCACACTTGCAGCCAGTCTGGGGGGTAACATTATGGTTTGACTTTCCGAACGACGCTTGCAGCCATATATATTTCCAGCTCAGGATAAAGCTTATGAATTGTATTACCAAATCAAAGAAATACCAACCCCGAAAATCATTTAAAAATGTCAAATTAAATATTTTTTATTGAATTCTATTTACTTATTCAATTTTATTTTAAACTTAGTTTTGCTATTTTTTATGAAAATTTCTAAAAATTAAATTGGAATATTTATGGACACCATGTAAGAAATTTTGGCAAATCTCAGTTTATGTCTACATGTCCGCAAAAGGGATACGGAGTCCAGAAAAGGAAGAAATGAATGAGCGAAACTTCTAGAGAAAAAATGCAAAGGGAAGAACGGTCCGCATCCCATTTGAGGACAGATTAACTTTAAACATTTGTCGACATTTTGACATTTTTACAGCTTGGTATTTTAATACACTCCAAGGCTAAAGAAAACATTTGTGGATTTTTTCTGTTATTTTAAGAAATACATACATACTTTGGGACCGGTAATTGTGATCTTTTTTATTATTATCCTTTTAGAAATTCGGTGTATGTATAATTTTTATATTAGACAGGGGCCGGAAATGTCTGCTACAAGCGCCGTTCGTCTTTAAAACCCCCTTTTGTTAGATACCCAAAAATTTTAACTTATATAAAATCCTTTGTTTTTCATTTAAATCCAAATAATCTTCAATCAGAATCGCTTGAAACTTCAATTACTTTCTCTTTTCCCTTTGTAGATTGTTCTCCTTGATCTAAATATTTTTAATAATTATTTTATGGATAATTTACCTATTTATAAATTAAAATTACTATTATCTACTATAAACAAATTTATTTCTTTTCTTTACCTCGTATTAATGGGCCTCCTCGACCCCGAGGCATTTCACGACCAGACTCGTCAATAGCCTTTTGTGTTTGTTGTTCATATTCAGCTATTAATTTACATTATTAACTTTAATTGTTAAATAAATTGTTTTATTACCAGGGGACAAATATCGGGCATGATGCTCGTAGAATGATGGATCATAATGAACATAACCATGCGATGCAGGAACAACATCTTTTTTTAAATAGGTTTCATTAGATATTCTACAATTTCCTTAATACCCCAGGTACTGGGGTATAAGCTCTAATTAAAAGGGGGTTTGATTTTCAACTTCACTCCAAAGTGGGGTTCAAATTCAGGGTGGGGTTTTATTTTCGGAAATATACATGTTGGAATATTGTCATCCCCTATCGTTTGACCCTTTTGCTTCTAGCGCTCGATACTTAAAAAAGGGCAAGAAACCGGATTCCAAAAAAATTGTGGAGATGCAAATCCGGACCGTTATCCATACAAAGGCCAAGCATCTTAATTATCTATGTTGTTCTGTTTTAAAAATATACCAGTTGGAATATCGTCATCACCAAATATTTCTCTAATTGTATTAGCTATATGTTGTTCTCTCATAGCTTGTTCATGTTGTACTTTAATTAAAATTCTTACCAATTTGTAAATTAATTTTATAAATATTAAATTCGAAAATAGTCGGCTTTGTTCTGGGATTCCAAGAGGCGATAGATATTATACAGGGTGACTAGAAAGTCTTTGCCCGCACCTTTTTTATCATAACTTTGTTAAAACTCAATCAAATAATATCATAATACAATCAAATAATAGAGAATTAAATGGGGAACAAAATAAATTTGGATTTTTCGAAATACCCCCCTTCGGCTTTAAGATAGAGGCGCAGACGCGAGCAAATATTTTTGCGAGATTTCCGCACCTATTATTCTGTGATTTTACCCCATTTACGAACGAGTGATTGTCGGAATGCCTTGAAACTTTTGGGTTTTTAAGCAAAGAGCCTTGCCTCCAAAATTGACTAAAAAATAAATCCACGGATTCGAACCCGGTGTGTACGGTAGCCATTTTTGAAATACGCTAAAACTGCGTAAATGGCTGAGCGACAACCTTGCATCACTTTAGCCCTATAAGCTGGGGAAGAATTCTTCTTAAAAATCCATTCCCTATGCCAAAAGTTTCCACAGACCCAAGGCTCTAAAACATACTTAAGGATTTCGAGTAGATCGGCGTATTTATTAAGTTTGACCCAAGGATTCATGAAAATCAAGGAATTTTGATCGTTTTGCAAATAAAAGTCCATATCATTTTGAAGGAAGGGAGTTGGAAATCCTTTACAACTCTAAAGAAAGAGGAGATTTTGAGGCCCAATATCAGTCATTTTTGCGATTCGAACATATCTCTTTCATAAAAATTTTGCCATCTGAAAAGAGGAACCGAGAAGGTGCGGCAATCTTGCAAAAATTTTTATTCGCGTCTGCGCCTCTATCTTAAAGCCGAAGGGGGGTATTTCGAAAAATCCAAATTTATTTTGTTCCCCATTTAATTCTCTATTATTTGATTGTATTTTGATATTATTTGATTGAGTTTTAACAAAGTTATGATAAAAAAGGTGCGGGCAAAGACTTTCTAGTCACCCTGTATATTTCTTTCAATTTTTTAAAAATTTTAAATTTTTTTATTGAAATTGTTTAAGGACGAGTAAATATTGTAAATGCTTGGGCGGTCAAGCATCAAGAAAATGCTTAAGAGTTAACAAGCTTACATATGGGTAATCTAAATCAAGTTACATATTATCTTTTGCAATTGTTAGGAAGGTTACTTTTACGTATACTTTATAAAAATTTTAGTTATTCAATTTCCAAATTTAATTTAGTCTTATTAAATATGCCTTACATTTTGTGCTAGTTTTATGACTTTTTCCTTCAATATGGTTGCTTACTGCTCTAATTTCTGCTGGCGAGAGCTTAAGATTTAAAATATTATAAAATACTCATTTATTAGTAGGGTGCGGCAAAATATGCACAAAAATCCAAAAATATGCGCATATATATGCATCGAAAAAGCCCAAAACATGCAGTGAAATTTGCAAATTTTTTTAAAATATGCCCTGGATATGCACTCAAAATTGGCTAAATTTACTCAAAAAATGTGAATTCAAGCAATATAATGTTTGATAATTAATTCTGGCGCTCAGAATTATAAATTTAATGATTTTTTTAGTTATTATTTTGTTTCTAAAATTTATTTGATTAAATTTTTCCCGAAAAATTTTTGACAGAAAATTTGACAAAATTTTTTCGTAGAAAATTTTTAAAAAAATTTTATATTCTGCCAAAAAATATAATTTAAACTACTTTCTCAAAAAATGGCAAAATATGCACAGATTTTGGTAAAAATATGCAAAATTCCCCAAAATATGTACAGATATGCAAAAGTAGTTAGCAGTAGGGGGATGTCGGGGGATTAGATAGGGTTACGTCGGTGGATTAACAGCGGATTAGGAGGGGATTAGGAGGGACGTCGGGGAACGACATCCTTTGAAGACATCTTTTTTTCCTCTCTCTCTCTTCCCCCACATCGTTTCCCCCTCCCTCTCTCATTTCTCACTACTCTTTTTTTTCTCGCTCTGTTTTTTCTCCAACAACCTTTTTTCTCTCTTACAGCTCCTTCTACTAAAATTAATCAATAAATGGTGAGAAGAAAAGTTTACCACATATTTTTCTTCTCTTCAATACATTTTTTCTTCCCACTTATTGATTTTGTTGGTCAGTAACAAGAAGACCATTTACATACGACTATATTTTTTAATGTTTTCAAACATTTTACATATTTGTATTTTATTCGGTCTATTTTTAATTTTTAGGGGTTCACTGTTGAACTGTTGATTATTCTACTTTACCACTTAATAATTCTTATGCAGAATCCAGAGAATATTTCTAATCCTCATCAATCTCTCTATGAAGATTTATTTTCCAAGGTTAATTTCTGTCATTTAATGGCCAAGGGAAATTTGCTTCTTGCTTACCTATTGTTTTCCTTAATTTTTAGTTAATTTTTAGCTGAATCCGATGGGCAAAGATGAAATCGATTCAACCAGTATTGCTGCTTTTCTAAGAACTGCTAAAGATGTTAATACGGCGCAGCTTTCTCAGGTTTTGATTCAATCACACATTCATTCTTTGAACATTAAATTAGATTTGGAAAGCAGCTTGTAAATCGAGTGGCTTTGTAAAGCGTGGATTTCTAAACAAATTGGGCATTTTTATGTGTTTTAAGGTATTTTGTTTAAAATTTAAATGTACTTTTGCACCTTTACAAATCTTATCAAAGGATTTAATGTCTATATTAGGGTCGTAATAGGACGTGACTACTAGAAATATTGTTATTTACTATAAAAATATTATTTAAGCTTGTGGCTGCCGTGCAACAAGGTCAAATAAATTTTTGATTAAAAATTTATTTATGCTATTTAATTTCAAAATTAGGCTTTCAAATTTCACCTGAAATCTTGTGTAATCCTTCTCTTGAATCTCCTCGATTTGAAATTGCATCTTTTTCCACAACTAATTTATTAGAAATTTCAAATCAATTAATAAAGATGAGTGAAGAACAGGTTAAATAATTTTTAATTATTCCTGGGATGACCATATGCCATCCGAACTATTACCAAATATCCCCCCTCCAGGAAAACATTTTTGATTTTTAGAACTTTCAACTTCAATCTGCAAATGATTTAATCGAGGTTTTAGAGAAAATGTCTGTCAATATTTCTATTTTAACTGTATGTCTTTTTTTTGTTTTTGATTATTTTCTTCTAAAGGAAACTCGTCTTGGACTTGCTCTGAATATGTTTCGCAAAAAAGTTGAAGACGAGAAATTGTCAAAACGTTGTAGAGCTCTAATTGAGGTTTTTTGAGTTTTTTTTCTTACTCAATAAAATTTAGAACTGGCGAGCAATAGTGTTTGAAGAAGAGGGAAGAAACAAGGCTTTACATGAGAATGTTCTTACTAATAGAGCTGGAAGAGTTAAAAATAAGGTTAAAAATAAGGTTGAAGAAGAGGGGAAGAAAAAGGCTTTGCGTGAGAATGTTATTACTGGAAGAGTTAAAAATTTTGGGTTTTTATGTATGTATTGTAAAAAGCCATTTACCAGTAAATTTAACTGCAAACGGCATTATAAAAATGTCCATAGTAAGTTTCTTAAAACTATTAAAGAAAAATTTTTTAATTAAGAAAAAACTGAAGAGGAAATTTTATTAATATTTGGACCTCCACAGCAAAAATTTAAAAGAAAATTACAAAAACAACAACAATCACCTATTCCTCGTAAGAATGGTAAATTACAAAAACAACAAAAAAATATAATTATAAATACAACAACAACTAAATTACAAAAACAATATGCCCCTACCCCACGTAAAAAATTATTTTTTCCCAAAAAATGATTAAATTCTAAAATAATTTTTCAATATAAAGATAAGGAATTCAAACTTTTCATCAACAAGGAAACCACCAGCAACAACAACAATATTTCTTCTTCAATAAATTTAATTACTTCAACAAATCCATCTTCTCCATCTTTACTTCCATTAACTAGTAGCGAATTTTCAATTGTTCAACCAGTAAATATTGAAAATAATTGCAAAGAAGGGGAAGGAAGAGAAGAAAGAGATCCTTTTATTAATTTAGAGGAAGGGGGTTCTTCTACAGTTGGAAGTATTGGAGAAGATGAACAACAAAATGAAGAAAACGAATTTTTAAATAAAAATGAGAAAATTGTTGGGAAGAGAGGAGAAGGAAGAGATAATGAAGTAGAAAAACAATTAAATGGTTGCTCCTCTGAGGTATGAATAGTTTTGTTTAAAAATGGTTAAATTTGGCAAAATGTTTTTTACTCCCCTTCCAAGTGTTTGAGCCCAAATCTCTCTCAGATATCCCTATTTTGAATTATTTTTTAATTTTTGAAAAAATTTTTTGAAAAAATTTTTGAAAAAATTTTTTGAAAATATTTTTAGTTGAATGCTCTTGCTGGTGCTCCTCTTGCCGGAACGGCAACTGCTCTAATTGGTGGAGGGTGTGGCGGGACGATGACAGCTCTTGGAGGCATGGCAGGTGGTGCTTCTCTTGCTGGTACAAGTGAGTTAAAACTTAAATCTCAAACCATCATTAATTGAGCCTTTAAAGATGTTGGTGCTTCTTCAACTGGTCCTCAAACCGTTGGTGGCGTTGAAGAAGAGGAGGAGGAAAATGAAGTAATTTTAATTTTTTAAAAATTTTTAAAAATTTTTTCAAAAATTTTAGTTAATATTTTTTAATTTAAAAATTTTTTGAAAAATTTTTTTAGTTTTTCCAAACGACGCTTGTTGGCTATGGCAGTAGAGACACTTCAACGTCTCTTGGCGGAATGGGAGGTACTCAAACTGCTCTTGGAGGCTTTGGTATGCAGACTGCTCCTGCTGGAACGGCAACTGCTCTAATTGGTGGAGGGTGTGGCGGGACGATGACAGCTCTTGGAGGTGTGAAATCTGCTGCGGGTGGTGCTTCTCTTCCTGGCTCAAGTGAGTTAAAACTTAAATCTCAAATTATCATTAATTGAGCTGTTATTTTTATTTAAAGATGTTGGTCCTTCTTCGCCTGGCCCTCAAACCGGTGGTGTCGACGATGAAGAAGAGCAGGTGGAAAATAATGATTTGTCTCAACAATCTGCAACAATTGAAAGTTCATTGAATGAGGTAAACGATGAATCAACAACAGCATCCAGAGAAATTGCAACACAAACTGGAAAAATACGCAGAAGGGGAAAGGCAAGTTTAAGATTACTTGGGCTTTTACAGGGTTTAGTAAACTCGGACCGGAGGGGGACCTGAAAACCGGGCCTGAGTAAACTCGGACCGGGGGATTTGAATTCCGGGCCTGAGTAAATTCGGACCGGGGACCTGAATACTGGGCCTGAGTAAACTCGGACCGGGGGACCTGAATACCGGGCCTGAGTAAATTCGGACCGGGGGGCCTGAGTAAACTCGGACCGGGGGATTTGAATTCCGGGCCTGAGTAAATCGGACCGGGGTGGGACCTGAATACCGGGCCTGAGTAAACTCGGACCGGGGGACCTGAATACCGGGCCTGAGTAAATTCGGACCAGGGGGCCTGAGTAAACTCGGACCGGGGGATTTGAATTCCGGGCCTGAGTAAATCGGACCGGGGTGGGACCTGAATACCGGGCCTGAGTAAACTCGGACCGGGGGACCTGAATACCGGGCCTGAGTAAATCGGACCGGAGTGGGACCTGAATACCGGGCCTGAGTAAACTCTGGGAAGGACTAAGGCGTCTTTTACTTGCTATACCTTGGTATATCTTTTTTTTTCAGGCATCAGGAGCTCAGAAAAAGAAAAACCGACGTGCCAGAGCTATCGAAGCTTCCAAAGCGGCATGCATTTGTTGATTTGTATCCATTAATTGGACTTTTGTCTTGTTCAGTGGAAACTAATTTTGGAAATGATCTTTTGTCAAAGCCTTTTGTTTATAAGATTGACAATATATTAAATGAATTGATTTATGAATTTTTCCGATTTATTATTTATTTATATCTAATTTAACCAATACTGTTTTTATTTTAAAATCAAAAAGAAAAATTTTTTAGTTTACAGCATCTCCTGTAATTTTTAATTTTTGGTGTAGTGGTATAATGTTTTGTTTTGGGTGTATTGAGGTCGTGGTTCGAGTCCTCTCGTTGAATTTTTTTCGTTTTAGTAAAATAACCTAAAAGTATCAATTTTCTCTCGTTCCCTTTTTTAAATTCTTCAAATAAATTTTTTTCAGCACGGAGAGATGGAACAGTCTGAACGAGATTTGATTATGCGCGAGTTCCAATCTGGCTCTTCCTGTGTATTAATTACTACCGATTTGTTGGCACGAGGAATTGATGTTCAACAAGTTTCTGTTGTGATAAACTATGATCTGCCTGGAAATCGAGAGAACTATATCCTTAGGTATTTTTCATTTTTTGGTGTAGTGGGAAAATGTTTGGATTTTTAGTAAAAGGTCATGGGTTCGAACCCCCTTCTTGGAGAAATTGATTTTTATTTTGAAAAATTACTTAAAATGTAAGAAACACTAATCCTAAATAATATAAAAATTTCTTTTGAGCCCTTAAAAATATTTTCAAGTCCTTAAAAATATTTTTTTCTCAGTATTGGTCGTTCTGGACGTTTTGGACGTAAAGGAGTTGCAATCAATTTCGTCACCAAAAGTGTGAGTTTTTGAAAGAAAATTTTTTTCTAAAATTTTTTTAAAAATAAAGTCCCCTTTTAATAGGATCAACAAATGCTTAAAGAACTTGAGTCATACTCTTCAACCCAAATTGAAGAAATGCCGGCTGAAATTGGGGAGTTGATCTAAAAAAATTAAGGAGAAGGAAGAATATAAAAAAGAGAAGAGAATAAAAAATATAAAAATTAAATATATTTTTTTGATATAAGAGAAAAAAAGAAAAGTGTTTTTTTCTATGTTTGGTGACTGTTCTATTGTTTTGTTGATTCAAATTTGGAATAAAAAAATTATAAAAAAATTTTCTTCCAAAAATGTTATAAATTGGCCTAATTTGCTGGAAATGGGTATTTAAATAAATTGCTAGAGGCTTTTTTCTACGTAAAGTTGGTCTGGTATATATTTTAACTTTAAAAAAATCACGTAACAGATTGGCCAACAGAGAAAGTTCGGGCAAATGAGAAAGGCTATGGTACGTTGTCACCAATTAATCCGGATCAACTCTTCCCTCAGCAAGGCGCGGCGTCGAAAAACAACGTCAGTAGTAATAATAGAATAATGGCAAACAAAAGCTGTTAGGATTGTTCTATATTGCAAAAGAAAAGGCGCTCCTTATATTTTACAAAAAATAATTTTTTTCTATTTTTAGGCTATGTGTGATGGTTTGTAGACAAACATTTGTTGAAGTATAATCCAAATGAGGAAAAAATAAATATATAATCAATCCTTTAATTAAAATTCTTATTGTTTTGTTGTAATTTTCTTTATGATAAATAAATTTGTAATTGCTACTACTATTTTATTTTGTATTCCAAAAATTGTTTAGAAAAATTTTTTTCTCCGAGAATTTTGGTGTCTTTCGACTAAATTTGAGAAGCTCTTTCGAATCTCTTTCGAACTTCACCTAAAATTGAGCTTTCTCCTGTATGGTTTTTGTATAACTCATTTCCTAAAGTACGGAGTGGAGAGCTCGTCGAGACATGCTGAATGACATGTCCAGAACTTTTACCACTTGTACACTACACTAAATTAAAAGAGAGCTCCTTCCCTATTAAAAATTAATATTCTCTTTCTCCTTAGTATTTTTACCAAAAATTAAAGACAAATTTTTCATTATTTCATTCAAATATTATGAGAGCAAAAATAATAAGAGCACGAAAATATAAAGTAATTAAAAGATGAGAATTTAAGGAGTGACTAATTTAGTAAGTGAGTAATTTAGCTAATGAGTAATTCAAAGAGCTATGTGGTGTGGTAAAATAGAGTAATTAAAAGAGCTCATGATTCAAAGAGCTAAGTGGTAAGGTAAAAGAGTTAAATAAGAGAGTTAATGGTAAGGTAAAAGATAAAAAAAAAGAGTTATGGTTAATTGTAAGATAAAAGAGTTAATTAATGTAGTATTAAGAAATATTACAAAATAGTATTTTAAAGAGGTGAAGGATATTTATTAAGAATGATTCATGCTCTTTATTCGCTGATATTCACCTTTATGTAAGTTACACATAGCACAACGCATTGGTCCCAGTTCTTCTATCTCCTTATCTGAACCATATAATAGAACTAATGTTCGTCTAGTTTTATTAGTTCGAGCACATCCATAACATATATAACAATGTCTACACGCATAATGGAAAACTGTTGGAGGATTTACAGTACAAATAATACAAGTTTCTTCTTCAAAGAATTTAATTGATTGCGCCTTTTTAAATTTCTTCATATCGAAAGGCAGTATAACACGATTTATTTGTTGTTTTTCCATTTTACCACAATTATGATGATTTTCTGTACATTCATAAAATTTACAGAGCTCCTTTTCAACTAAGAAATTTTTTTAAAGTTTTTGAATTTAAAAAGCTTACGATTCAGTATATACTCATTACGTTGTTTAGTACCAAACAAATACATACGAAATAGTTGATCGTATGAAGGAGTAATATTTTGTAAGCGGAAATCGTGAATGCTAGTTGATCGTTTCCTATAAGTTTTCTTCTCCTCTTTCTCAATATTTTTTTTAATATTGTTTAATAGTTCGAGAAAACGTTGTTCATTATTAAGTTTTTCAATTTTATTTTTTATTGGAGATTGATTGTCACTAGAACGTTTTCTAGTGTTGTCCATTATTTCAAATTAAGAGCAAAAAAATTTTTAAGAAAAAAATATAATAACTGTTACCGCAAAATTTTCCAATCCTTGTATCATATCCACGCCCGAATCCATAAGAATTTCGCGCATTTAACTTATTGTAAATATCATGAATGCCGACAAAAAACAAACGTTCATCCGAGAACACTCAAGAAAAGGATTAACAGAAAAATAGAAATATATACAAATATTTTTATAAAAAAATATTCAAATAATTTAATCTTTTAAATTATAACTCCTTCCTTTACAGATCCATAATTTATTATAACATTTCGCTCATTTAGCCTATTATAAACATCAAAGAGCGCCGATAAAGTAAAAAACGTTCATCTCAAGAAAAGGATTAAGGGAAAAAATAGAAAAATATGCAAATATTTATGTAAAAAATATTTAAAAATAAATTTTAAAAAAATTTCGAAATATATAAGTGTAAGAGTAATATTAGGTAGGAGCTGGGGTATATAAGGAGCAAACTCTCGGAAAAAAATTTATTCGTCCTCACTTTAATAATATAATTAAACTATTAATAATGCCATTCCAAAAAGTTTCTGACGAATGTGCTAGCATTTTAAACTGTTCTGTAAAATCTTTGCGTGATCAACTTAATCACCCAGACAATCGTGTACTAATTTTGAAAGAGCTCCTTGGACGAAAAGTCCAGACAACCTATGAAGATAAGAATGGGTTTAAAAAAATATTCGTTATAGGAGGCTTATCAAGACAAGGAGCAACTTCTCTGAAATCATATGGAAAATTGCGTTTCCCGTTTAATGTGAGCGTTGCTGCTCATTTTTATGCGCGTCATAGAATTAGATTGAGATATCCATTTCTTCACTGCATTATTGAAAGATTTCGACATAGAAGACAAGATAGATTTTATCCTATGGAGCTTTTAGAACTTATTGATGATAAGGAAGATCAAAAAGATAACACCAATGATTGGATGGAGCAACTTTACTCTGATATGTCTACAAAATGTAATATTTTTGATGAGCAAGAAAAAACTGATGAAGATATGTATTGCTATAGTGGTGATCTGAGCCAATGGTGAAATTAAATAAAAACAGAAATTGATTAAATTTAACAATTTATTTGTTTAATTGTGCACAGTTACCCCTAAAATTACTACTTTTTAATTGTTAATTTTTATTTTGATACTCCTAACTCTTAATTGTGCTCTTTTCTCCCTAAAACTGATTACTTCTCTTTCTTAATTTTGCTCTTTTATTTCCCTATTCTTAATTGTGCTCTTTTACTCCTAAAATTGTAAACTTCTCTTTATTAATTTTGTAACATTTTTTATATTTTTATCATGAATAAAATTAATACAATATTGTAAAAAATACAATTTAAAAAATAATTTAATTACAAATGAAAAATTAGGGAGGGGAAATTCTAGGATGATGATTATCAATGTGACCAAAATTCAATACAACATAATCAGAGGGTCGAATGATCCCTTTGCATACTACGGGTTTATACATTTTATATAAAGGTTTAGAAATGACGCAACCATCTTTAATAGACGGTCGCAAGAAATTAGGATATAAAATATTTATCGGTTCTAATTCTCCAGTTCTTGCATAAGATAAAACTTGTTTTTTGAATGTATCATATCTGAGCCCTTGATTTTGAATCACATCGTAGTTTAGAGTCATTCCGCGGACTTTTAAAACATATTCAAAAGTTGTAGTTTGTCGCTCCTTACGTTGTAATTTTAAACCGTACTGTTTTGCTCCTCCGCTGCAGTACTCCAAAATTTCATGTGATGGATACTCATTTGTGAATTCCCCCAAGTGCGGACCTAGTTGAAGGGGACAGTTTCCAGAAGGATGAGAAAAAATTAGGGAGTCGGTGTCAGTATATAGAAGGTTACATCCTGGAGTTCGGACGACTTTTTGCATTGCCCTGAGCAAATGAATTCGCGCTGCGGATGTCGTCCATAAGGAGATGACTACATTTGAGCAAGCATGCTCTTCTACCCAATCTTTCTTTTTGGAGTAAGTAATGAGCAAAATATCTGGTGTGAGCTCATCCAAAGCTGAAACTTCAATTGATCTGTCGTCTAAATATTTTCGTAGTTCAGCAGGATTGTTTGTGATAGCACATTGAGAGAGACCAACATTCCTTAAGGAGAATCTTCCCCATAGGTTGTTGAGCATTAATTTGGCCTGAGTACGCTTTCCCTTATTTGGCCCCATCTTGCTCCTCTCTATATTAATTCCAAACTTATCTTTACACTCTTTAATAAATTGCTCCTCTGCTACAAAATTGTCTTTAATGGAGGAGTCAAAGCCAGATGAATGTATTTTTGCTGCCATAAATTCAGAAATATATGGAGCAAATAATTTGTCGTCGCTCTCCCTGAACTCCAATACTCTGAAGAGCTTTGTCACTCTATATCCCTCCTCAAGAGCAACATTGAGCTCTATTGAAG